TATACAGACTAATGCGCCACAACTCACAGGATGATTAAAATGACCCTTTGCTATGAGAATCAGCAACACAGATCCATAGAACTTAATTGCCTAAAAGTTCAATGTCATCCAGCATCTATCCTTCAATCTGTTAATGGTACTGAATATCTGTAGATATTAGAAGTGGATGTTGACATTAAATCAGTTTCCCATTATTGTGTGTATATTGCCAGCAGAGTTTCACACTTAAACTGTATTTGATGCCACTGAGGACTATAATCATGAACTTATGGCATTTACAGTCCAACTCTTTTAAAGGGAAGATGTTAATGGATCGAAGTAAGATAGCACTGCATTTGAATCACACTGGATGATCACATAAAGGAAACCTGCCAAGACGTAACACACGCTTCAATAAAAGAGTCAACAGCAAGAAAAATGTGTTCCTTCAAACAATTCAATTTTTTCATCTTCTGATTAAGAATTCTGTTATTGCTGTAGATTTTCTTCTTAGACTGTTCTAATCAGGAAAAGACACGTTTATCATTGTCAGTGAAAGATGTGTCATATTTTGAAAGGTTTCTACAGTAGTGTTGGTTTCTGAAAATATTTATTTTCTTTACATTTTGGTGTGAACATTGAAAGTAATATGCATCAGTTCAGTGGGAAGAGTGTCACTGCTTGCAGATGGTCTTGACATCAGTGTGTGTACTGAATCAGAAACATCTACGTTTGAAAAGAGTTTTAAGATGATAAAATCCAGCCATCAACCCCACCTACCAAATCCCATTACTACATCATATCAGCCAACATAAAGTACATGTAGTTCTTAATTACCTCTAGGGATAGGTAAGTCAGTGGATCAGGCTAGCCAGAAAAATGGTAGATGACTCATGACTGGATGGAGCTTTGAGTAGCTTGGACTTGTGAAAGGTGTCCCTGCTATGGCATGGGGATTAGAGTGGATGAACTTTAAAGTCCCTTCCAATCCAAACCATTCTCTGTTAGTGAAGAGCAGATCTAGCAGGGCACCACTCCTGGCAGGCTCTCCTACCAGCTGTATAAGGAAGCTATCTTCCACACACTCTAGAAACCTCTTGGACTGCTTCCTCTGTGCTGTATTATACTGCTAACGTATGTCAGGGAAATTGAAGTCTCCCACGAGAACGAGTGCTGGCAATCACGTGACTTCCGCAAAGCTGCTCAGAGAATGCCTCATCCATCTCTTCGTCCTGATTAGGTGATTATAACAGACCCCCACCAAGATGTCACTCTACAGGCCTTCCCCCGATTCTTACCCTCAGACACTCAACTTTATCATTCCCAACCCCAAGCTCTTCAACATCAAAACAGTCTTTAATATAAAGGACTATACCACCACCCTTCCTTCCTCATGTATTCCTTCTGAAGAGCTTGTAGCCATCCATCACAGCACTCCACTCATGGGAGTGGTCCCACCATCTTTTGGTAATAGCAACTAGGTAATAGTTAGCTTGCCACACAATCACTTCTAACTCCTCCTGCTTGCTGCCCACGCTGCATGCATTGGTGTAGATGCACTTCAGCCGAGTCATCTGCCTAACCCTGAGCTCATGCACTGTTCCCCTGGGCTCATCTCTTGTGAGGCCCGTTTTGTCCCCTTCCCCTGTCATAGCTAATTTAAAACTCTTTTGATAAGTCCCAGTAGCTTCTGCACTAGGATTTGTGGCCCCCTTTGAGATAGGTGGGTTCCACAGATGGACAACAGGACAGGGGCAAGGTAAACTGCCCCATGATAAAAAAAAACTCAAAGTTTTTGGCTCAACACCAGCCTCTGAGCCAATTATTCATTGCTTGTGCTTTCCAAGTCCACTCCATGTCCCTCACTGCCCCTGAAGGTATAGAACAAAAAATCACTTGAGCTCCCACTCCTTGAACTAAATGCCCTAAACCCCTGAAATCTCTTTTCATAGCTCATAGGCTTCTCTAAGCAATTTCATCACTGCCCACCTGAACTATGAGTAAAGGAAAATAATCAGTGGACTTACCCAGCTTTGGGAGTTTCTTGGTTATGTCACTGATCTGGGCCTCAAGAAGACAGCACAATTCCTGATGGCTCGAGTTCAGTCTGCATAAGGGGCCCTCCATTCCTCTGAGAAGGGAGTCACCCACCACGACCACCCTTCTTTCTTTCCTGACAGAGGCGGTCTCAAGAAGTGGGGGTGACCACTTCACCTTAGGCTCCCTCATAAGCAGATCCTCCATTGCCTCCCCACTTACCTTCCCTTCAATTTCTAGTGTCTGAGACCTGATAGGTGCTGAAATATGTTGCCCAGAGAAGTTATTGATGCCACATTCCAGAAGACATTCAAATTGGATGGAGTCCTAACCAGGGGTTTTAGAAATAGATGGTCATTTATAGGCCAAACCATCCTATGATCCCCAGGCAGACTGTTCCAATACAGAATCACTGTAAAGAAACTCCTAACATTCAATCTAAATTTCTATTTCTGCAGCTAGCAGTAATTTCTCAGATATTATCAGTTGTTGACTGATAAGAGACCCTCACTATTTTCACCATTAATGTATTTTCAGTAAAATGTAGGGAGCAATGATGTCCCCTCCTCTGTTTCCTATTCTGAGGACTAAACAAACCCAGATATCTCAGATGCTTCTCATGACACTTATCTTCCAGTCCTCTTCCATCTTTGTTGCTCTTCTCTGCACTTTAAAGCAATTCAATGGGCTTCTTGTAGTGAGCACAGTATTAGAGGTGTGGTCTCACCAGTGTCAGAGGCTTATCACTCCACTAGCCCTGCTGGCTGCTCAAACCAGGATGCCATTTCCCTTTGTGTACACATAGGCATACTGCTGGCTCATATTCAATCAGCTACTGTCCAGAAAGCATCCCCAGGTCCTTTTCTATCAGTAAAATTCCTTGCCACTCTTCCTCAAACCTCAAACTGCTGCATCAGTATATCCTCAAGCAGATTGGCAGTCTTGCCAAACTTGGTACCACCACTGAACTTGAGAGTGCATTTGATTCTCTCGCACAGATCATTGATAAAAATTTAAAAAAAAAAAAAAAAAAAAAAGGCCCTTGTGATGAGCTGTGGTGAGTGGCCAGCAAATGGAATGAACTCTTTGAGACCCACCACCCAGCCAATTCCTCAACTAGTCAACTGTACTTCAAAGCATAAGCAACCAGTCTTTCCTGGAAAATACTGTGCAAGACTATGACTGACATAAACAATACCCACAGTCTTTCTCTCATCTATGAAGTAAGTTATCTTGTCATTGAAGGTGATGAGGCTAGTCAGGAAGACTTGACTTTCAGAAACCCATGGTGTCTGCTTCTATTGTTTTGTATGTGTCATGAAGTGGAGCTCAAGATAAAGTGTTCCATGACCTTCCTGGTACTCAGGTCAGACTGACAGGACTGTAATTTCCTGAATCTTTTTTCCTGACCTTCTTGAAAATGGGCATCACATTCATCAATCTTCAGTCAACTAGGACTCCCCTGGTTAGTCTGGACTGCTGATAAATTATTGAAAGAGGCCTGGTGGGTGCTTCTGACAGCTTCTTCAGTGCCCTTCGATAAATTCCACCTGGTCCTACAGACTTGTGAATATTCAAAACAGGAAGGAGTTAACTTAAACTTTCCCACTCTATTTTAAGGACTTCATTTTTCTTCATGTTGCTTCCTGGGTCTAGGTATCCTGCGAACAATTGTCCTAAGAAAGACTGTGGAAAATTTTTCCAAGGAAAAACTTTATTTTCTTCAGTCTTATCCTCATTGTTCAAAACTGTGTTGCCCCTCACATCCAATAAAAGATGGGGAGTCTCTTTATTTCTCCTTTTGTTATTGATATACTTATCAAAGCATCTTTTATCATCTTTTGCTACACTAGCCAAATTGAGTTCCACTTGGGCTTTGGATCTTCTAGTTTTCTCCCTACAAAATTTGACAGCAGCTCTGTAGTCCATTTGCCTGCCCCTTCTTCAGAGCTCCTAACTCCCTTTTGATTCCTGAATTCTTGACTTAGTACATGGTGAAGCATCTCTGTAACACAAAAATCCTGAACCCATCAAAAGAAAAAGGAGAAGTATGATCAAATAAAAATATCATTAAGCTAGAAACCACATGTACAAGTTACCATGACACCTAAATGGGATCTAAAATACTAGCTAGATATAGCAATAGTAACACTACCTCTTTCATAACTGGCTTTCATATGCAACTCTGAGAAGTTGCATATGAACATATGATCAACCATAAATAATAGCTTCAGTCTATCAGTTTGGAATAATACAATTCAGATTGTACCATATTGCCATTACCAGTATACCAGAAGACTGGACTGGATCTTGACACTAAACTTCCTGGTTTATTTATCCTATCAATAATATAATAGATTTCTAGTATTACTGGGCTTGTCACAGAGGTGAAAAGATTTCCATTCTTCAAAGAAATGTCATTTGTAGTGTCAAATGATGACACAATGTTATACTTTCCAGATTTATTTTTTTTTTCTGAGCACATTCTGCCAGTAGTATGGAGAATAGTGTAAAAGTTTCTCATCAGCAGCCTTACAATATGTGGAAGAAACAGGTAAAGGCACCAAAATAAGGTCAAATGTTAAACTGCAGTGCAAAATGCAATTTAACATTTGTTATAGGCTTAGCAAACACTCCTCTAATGAACCAGACCTTTATTAGAGTTCATATCACTGGTGATTAAGCTTTCTCTGACAACTCATTTCACCTCCTGCACTTTTACATTACACTTCACAATAGGAAAAAGAATAAAATATTAATGCCAACAAAGATCAGACACTTTGTGTGCCTTATTGCAACTTAATGTCTGTAATGTCTTCTAATTTGAGTAACTTGAACTTTGTTTCAGTCCCCACAGGCTAAATCAAATATAAACACAAAATATTCTGGCAACGGAAACTTCTTAAACTGCTAAATTAATAGCACATCACTAATAAGATTATTTCCTTAAAAAAGAAGAGGAAGACAATGAAAATACACAGTACCTCATCTAATTCCATTTCATCTGGACTTTCCCATGGTTTGATAAATTTGCCACGAGATCTCTTCAAAGGCACAATAACTATGTAATAGCCTCTGTAAAAGAAAGAGTGGGACAAAAGTGAGGCTGAAGGAAAAGGAAAATGAATTGATGGAGTATGTTTGTTCAGAGAGGCTCATAAAAACTGCCTGTCAGACTGAGAAATATTCCAGCCTTCCAAACATATTTGTAAATATTCACATATTGAAAACAAATTTTGGTATATATTCAGTATATTTAACAAAAAATGGTACTAATTACTTGCCTTTTCATTTGAACATAGAAATATGTATAGGAAAATTTAATTACAGCATTCTAAAATGCCTGCATATTTGACTGCAGGTTATTATTTTGTTTGAAATACAAGATCCATCGGACACTACCACCACTAATGTGGAAACAAACAAAAGCACAAACATAAAAAGACTCAAACCCCTAAAATGAAACATTATCCCATTTTTTCCACTTTCATGTAAAATTTGAATAGTATGGTAACATAATGTTACCATAACAGAAAATAAAACTACATATCATAAATTCACACATTCCACACACAATCTCTTCACTTTTGAGTATCAACTGCCATCAGCTTTTCCTACTTAAGTATTCTTTTCACAGTCATAGATGTATGTTCTCTTCACAGCTAGGATTCACATATCCTCCCACATATTTTCCACTGAACAGTTTTTCTGAAAATGTTTTGCTTCCTCTGCACTCCTTCCTCCACTTCTGCCTATTTCTCCACCAAAAATTTTATATGTGACTAAAGAAATAGTAGAATCACAACAGCATGAAATCCAGGATGGTATAATATGATATTCAAGACATCAAGTACTCCTTACCTCAGAGAAGGAAAGAAGCTGTTTCCAGTAACAAGATCATTAAGAAGGCGTCTCTTGATCTCTATTATGGAAAACAGTGTTTTCTATTCCTGCCTCCTTCCTCCTTTCATTTATATTAGTAGGTAAAGGAGGAGGCTAAAGAAAATGACTTGCCTTACAATTAATCGAAACCTTGCCCAGTCTAAATCAACTCTATAAACTGTCTTTGTATCATATCAATGCATAGCACTGGTTCATTTTAATGGTCTCTTCTTAACTAAAGCAGTTTCCTCTAAAATAAATCTAACAACAATCTGAATTATTAGCTACTGTTCTAGATGCTTAAGTTCCTGACACTCAATAGTGTTAAGAAATTTGAGAAATTTATTTGTAGAAATGCAAAGCTCTAACAGAATGTATTAAACAAGAAGTGTAGCCACAGATCTGCAACTTTTTTCTTGCTGTATTGTCATGATTTAAAGAAATTTTTTATCATACATTCTTTACAGTAGAAATGAAAAATAATCTCTAAGAATTATATTCTTTTAATTAGGAATATTAATTAATTAAGGCTGCTTGAGCTCAGATTTTAAAGCTGAGTATGTATATTAAACAAATCTTCAGATTTTTATTTTTTTCCTTAAATGTTACCTAAAATGCTACTTTAAAAGCTTTTTTTTTTAAAATAGTTTTATGAAACAAGAATATTAAAATATCTGCAGTAAGATGTATTCTCAGTTTCATAATAATCATCTGTACATGTAGACATATAACATATATTTTTCCCAAACATATATTAGGATTAGATATATAAGTACATTTCAGAAATTACGTGATTGAGAGATATGACAGGACTCTAACTCAGTAAGAGCTGCAGGGATCTGTCAATATTTCTCCTAGGGCAACAAGACAAGTAAAAATGTTATAAACAAATATAAAACCTTAAAGGAAGTTTAATTGGGCTCTAAAGTGCTTCCTCTTTAACACAAAAAATTGCAAATGACATAAATAGCTCTTTGTTGACATTTCCTTCCCCCCCCTCACCCCACACGTTATGACTTTTGTCCTGACAACTGATTTTTAGAATTTTTTTCCAGGATCTCTGCCTCCCAAGAAGCCTTCTGTCATCTTCACAGATAGCTTGTCTGCTCCAAAGTCAGGATACCAAAGGATTAATTTCTTCAACAGTTTCTATTTAATTATTCCCTTTCCCCAAAACTGGCTTTTATCAAACTGATGAGAAATAAACTATAAGAAGAATTTCTCAGAAATGACAAGAAGACAAGCCAAACAGAAATTTAGAAGTAGACACACTGGACTTAGTGGCTGAAGTAATATTCTTCTAAACATACTAAAACCTGAAGAAATATTAGTAGACAGCATTTTGGAGTACTTTGAAATAAAATATCTTGTATCAATGAATAAATGGATGCTGTTCTTAATCAGTGTCAGCAGGTCACACAGGCAGTATGCAGATATTTTATAGGAACTTTGGGGGATAGGAATGAAAACTGTGAAATGCTTAGGAATGTGGAAGTAGCAAGCCTGCCCATGCTGAGAATTTTCTGAAAAAAAAAACAGAATGTCTTTTCACAATCAATAACCTATGGAATGTCTACGTCTTGCTAACCCAAGGCTGTAGCTCTAGAAACCAGAATAGAGGATTGAAAACTACTATTTAATAATTAAAAATTTAAGGCAAATAAGTAACCTAGATTTCTCTTTATTCATGCCAATATCAGAAGTACTCCAGTTGGCCAGCTCTAATGTAAATGCAGAAAAAGAAAAAATATATTGGGGGAATTATACAACTCCCTTGATATAAACATATATTTTCCTTCAAGTATTTCTGAAGTAGAATCTATTCATATTAACATCTTGAACTATATTTCTTATCAGTATTTAAACAAAACTAGATGGTAGCTGAAATGCAACAATTGACCATGGATCCTTTTACCTCATTAAAAAATCATTTTCCAATATCAGTTCATAGAAGTAATCTGGCAAATGAATCTTCCTCTACTATGCTAACTTTTCCTCTACACAGAAACATCAAAAATCTTCAAACATCAAATGGAGGATTTTACTCTTCAGTAGTCTCATTGCATAATTTTAACCTGAATATCAAAATTCCCTGTCTTCATTTTGTTTAGTTTCAAAGAGGTTTAGGGTATAATAATGTTTGCTAGTAAGGCAAAAACTTACTCTTTTAACTTGCTTAAGCCTACCTTTAGGACAATTTTCTTCTTTACTAAGGCATACGGCATGAGTAACAAATCTTTGCAAAAGCAGATTTACTCTTTTATATAGTATCTACAGTGTATATACCTTTTCTTTTTCAGATTCATAAGAATTCATATAAAACAAAAACAATTGAGAATTAGTCCTTATACATCATTCAGACACTGAAGATGTGCTAGATGAACTTCATAGCAGTCTACTGATTACCTTTTTTTTACCCCCTACCTCTTTTTTTTTTTTTTTTTTTTTTTAGCTAACAGGGTGTTCATACATTTTTATCAATCAAGAAACATCCAGCATGTAAATGTTACTTTCACATTCTTTCACAATTTCTTTGTGCATGCCTCCCCTCATAACTTTGATCATTCACTAAGATTTTCAGTACATACAGAATATTTTAAAGCTGAAAGCATGAGTACCTTAACAATAAGTAAAAAAATGAAACAGTTCACATATATATATATTGCTGCAAATTATAAAGGACAGTGAAGTTCTGTTATTTCTAGCTAAGTATTGAAAACATAGCATGTCTTACAGAAGATATTATTTGCTTTATTATGTTTTGATTGAGCGTGCTTTTGTGTGTACTTTATTTGTTTTGGTAAGTTGAAGGCAATGAGGGAAATATAAGGCTTGCTAGAACCCATCAGAATTCCAAAGGCTGACATCTTAAATAAAATGCAAGACTTTGCAAACGTGGAAGATTCAGCGAAAGTTGCTTCAAATAGAAATTGCTTCAAATTAGCCAAAATACTTTAAAAAAATAATAATAATTTAATATGTTTCCATCACTACATCCATCTGACCAAGCAGTTGTGGTCTCTGCTTAAGTTTTTACTCTGTATCATCATCAAACACTAAGATAATGAAAATTACATCTACCCTCTTCAGTAAGTTTTAAAGGCTCTTAAAACACTATTCTCAATCTCATTCATCTATCTATCTCAATTTCATATCATCCATCTTCTCATCTATAATCCTTTAAGGTAAATAATTAACTGTTTCGTCTTCAGTGTAATTAGTATCGTTGAAAGATTCTCAATGTAGGATGAATATAACCACTAGCATATAATGTACCCATAGATGAAAAGGAACAGCAATTGTGCAGTAGTTACAATGAGGTGTTTTTTTTAAAATAAAATTGTTCTTCTCCTACAAGATCCCTATAATTTCATATATTCTAACAAACATTGGATGTCTAAACATGACAGAATTTTCCTTTCAATATTTAGATGCATTGGTATGCTATTCCTGAGATACATCATTTTTTTTTGTTTGCTTTTCTATATTAAGTTATATGCAATATAAGAAAGAGCATTGACTGTTTCCACTGCTATCTCCTTCTATTGTCTGACCAGCTATCCTGCAAGTTTTTCTTCTGTAAATGCTCTGCCTCATAAATCTTTTTTTGACTCACTCTTCCTTAGCTGCATTTGTTACTGACCAAACCTTACTCAATCTAATACTAATGGCTACATTTTTCAGGTTTTCATCCTTTTACTGTCTCAAAGTCATTTATTTCAGGACTTCACCTGCCTCAAAATTCTCAGTCAGTAATGAAAAGGTAGAGCAACATTCTGAAGAACTGCCAGTTAGAATGCACGAAAGAGAAGGCAAGTGGAATCTCCAACAATTTTTAATGATTTTCTCATTTTTTCCCCATGTACTTTACATTACAGATGGAAACTTTACAGACCAGCAAGAGCAGCAACACTCATTGATTGTACTTTGCTTCATATTTTCTTGCCAAATCTTCATCTGTCCTCTCTAACAGTTCTCTGACAGTTCTGTCAGATCCTAAGTCCTATTTTTGTTAAATCTCATAGCAACTCTTCTCCTCAAATGGAACTAACCTCTACCAAAACTCTGTGAAATCTTTCAGCCAAGTTTGCTGTTTTTGTTGTTGTTGTTGTTGTTTGGTTGGTCAGTTTAGTTTGTTTGTTTGTTTGGTGTTTGATTGTTTTTTAAACTTGGAGGAGAGGATCTGAAATTTTTGTCTTAAAAAAAGACAAACTTCATAATTAAATCACTTGAAATAACATAAGTGCAGTAACAATCCTTCATAGTTCCAAATAATTCTGGAATGAGATCTAGTATTTTGTGTTGCTGCAGGTGGATAAACCTACACTGATAGGTTATCCATTCTCTACACGAGGATACATTTTTCAAAACACAGCTGGTTTCATAACTATCTGGAATTAATAGAGAAAAGAAAGAAGTTATCGAAGAAACAACCAGAAACAGAACATAATTTTTATATTTTTTGCCACTTATGTATCCAACCAGAATTTACTACGTACTCAGCTGAGTAATAAACTGATATTCATTTTTAGTCCAAATGTTTCTACAGATAACTGAACTTTGTACCCTTAGGGGGAATAAAGCCCTGGTGGACCACTACATGTCCAGATTTTATTAGCAGAATAGTAAGAATTATCAATGCCATCAAGTCACTCACTTTATATTCTCATTTGATGGTACTTCTGGAAGTTCCACAGTTATCATGCCATCTAAGTTTGTTTTTCCAATGAAGACTGGCTTGGTGCGAAGCACATCTGGTGCAGTCTTTGCTGTCACTCTGTGCTGAAGACCTCCAGCACTGTTCCCTCTGTTTGTCAGCACAAATGAATACGATGTCTCTGGCTTCAAGTTAGTGATCAGTTTTTGAGTAGCACGTCCATCAACCTCCATCACCATTTTGCCGTCATCATAAAGGATCTAAGTTAAAGTATAAATCCAATGCAATTTTTGTTACTAAGAGAAGGCAACTGATATCATCTCAATTAATTCAGGAATTTGCCTCGCTATAAATTTAAAATGACGCTCACAAGTGGCAGTTTAAGTTGTAAGATACTACTAAATTCACTACGGCAATTAAATGTTCTTTGTATGCAGGAAAAAATGCACTATATTAATGTAGAGTAAGCATTGCTGAAGTCCAATTTCACTTACTCAAATTCAGTAGCTTTGCTCAAATCAACTATTTATATCAAGGCACACTTTTCTTAAAGTACCTTTCTTTATTTCAGTCATACTCCATATTCAGAAAAGTTTTAGCATCTTTTAGTTCATAAAGTGCTGTTCTTTACTGGCCACTTCCTGAGATGACAAGTCATGAATAGTAACATAGAAGTGATGAAGACCAAACTGAGATCTGGATCTGATTTCTTTATCTTAATGCTATACTTAGTGGAGTAACAGAGTTCAAAAATGAGTTCTTATAAATTTGAGGAGATGAAAAGTCAAAAGGAATTCATAGTCATAAAAATAGTAAAAAGATAACTGTTCTCTTTTCATTGTTCAGTCTAAAATATAGATTGCAATGAACTACTAATTAGCAAGATGTTCACACCATGCATAACAAGCATCATCAGTTTGACTTGGAAACATTACCACAAGAAGTTCATAAAGCCAAAGGACTTAATTTGACAGCTTGGGTCAATGTTGCTGATTAGTTTGCATTCTTCAATATTATAATAGAAAACAAAACAAAACAAAACAAAACACATAATTCAGTAAAGTACTTAAGTGGTTGAATGTTATCCTTTAATTTCCCTATTTACATTCTATCAAATAAAAAGCAACTTACTTTGAAAGGTAAAGCTGAGTTGTAGTTTTCTGGAATCTCCCAAGACAGTAAAACTGAAGTCTTCATTACTGCTTTAACATGAAAATTTTTTGCAAACACTGCTGGAAAAAAAGGAAATTTTGTATGTAAACAATATCTTGGAGTTTAGATTTTGTCGTATTTCCACAGCTACCTCGGCGTATTAGCTTTCCATTTGGGTCAAAGAAACAAAATTAATTCAGTTCTCCTACCTGTTCGTTCACATCTAAATATTACATTCTAAGTAATTTTCACTCTTATCTAATGACAATCCAACATGTACATTCTCCTTACCTGTAAAAATTGTGAAGATGTTAGCCAGAACTTGTTTGGCAAGGACAACTGAATTCTAAGGCATCCAAAACATATTAAGATTTATATACTTTACCTTTTGTGTTTGTTGAACCTATTTTTATGAATGGGCCGGTCAGTTTTATTTACAGCTTCAAAAACACTGACATCCAAAGACCGATACTCCTTTAAAGGTCAACGCCATAAGCAGACAAATCCTACCTTGATCCACGGGTAGTGTCCTGAACTGGACACTTGGACTATATGGACCAGGCCCTTTGCTTGTGTGGGCACGTACTTTTACATCATATGTGGTATCTGGTTTTAAGCCAGAAAGTGTCATAGTGGTATCAGCAGGAACAACAGGGAGTTCTACTGGTTGGTAAGCAACATTGATATCTCTGTACAAGATGGTGTATTTGGTGATAATGCCATTTCTCTCTGCCAACAGTGGCATCTGCCAAGTTAATTGAACTGATGTAGAAGTAGAGCTTTCTGAGTGGAGATTTTGAGGAAATCCACTGGGTACTTCTTCAGGAATAGAAATCTCTTTAACCATCTCCTCCCCAAAGCCCACTTTATTTCTAGCTGACAGCCTGAAGACGTAAGAAGCTCCTTTGTGAATGTCTGTAGCTGTGAAGTGATCTTCCTTTTCTGAGAACTCCATGGTCGTAAATGTATCCACATCCTTGCGACCAAATTTCAGGCGGTAACCCTGCAGCGGGCCAAAGGTGTCCACAGGAGGGTGCCACTGAATTAGAGCTGTATTCATCTGTGTGTGGCTAATCACAAGACGAGGTTTGCCTGGAACTGTAGCAGAAGGTTATTTAAAGATGATAAATAGAAACAGAACTGCACATAAAGTTATTGAGGCTAGCTTTAACGGGAATATGGATAATTTTCTCTTTCCTCACTCTTTGTTTCACAAATAGCGACCTTTTGAAAGAAATGATGTCTGCCTCCTGCACTACTGAGTCATATAGTATAGTGAACTATGATAATAAAGTCACCTACTGTTCACTGTATCCTTCACTTATCATTCTGAATGCTCTACTGTCCCTTTATAAATATAGAGAACATTCAGAGGCACAGGAGTTAGAAACATCAATCAAGAAGTAAAACTTCAAACAAACATCTTATGAATGTCTCTGTCCTTGTTTAAAAAATAAAACAGTATTGCAATAAGAAACAATTTAATTAATCCAAGGTACATTTCTGTCATTCCTGTAGCAGCAGTAATAATAATAGAGAAATTAAAAGTTCGTTAATCTGTCTAACAGCGTTCTTGCCACTACAAGGTAAAATGCTATAGGAATGAAGTCAATTTTTTGTGCACTTGAACTGGATTTCTTCCGTAGAAGAGGGACTGCACAGAAAGCTCTTCTGTGCTTGCACACCAGATAGATTCAAATCTGTAACTTAGGCCTAAGAGGTCAAACTGTTGATTCATCTTTTAGAGAGGTTCAGACCATAAGTGCAGTGGGCGCATTCAGTGTACAGGACTAAATTTGCTCTTTGCTGATGTGTGACATGGTATTATACAGCTCATATTATATCACTTTCTTTCATTTACTGTTTGTATTCCGTTATATAATTATGAACAAACAAACAATTATTTATATTTGCTTTCATATTTATATATTAATGAAATATTTCTATTTAAAAAATGTGTTTCTATTACAATTAAGTATTTGATAATGGAGCAAATCCATTAGTATACAGACATTTCTTGTTCATTGTGTGCCAGTATCTGACAGGTCAAGAAATGAGAGTGTTATCTAGTAGTACTGCTATGATAATAGTGTTCCATGATGACTAATTATTTTAAAGAACATTTGAAGCTTTCTCATGTGAAAGCAATTGTTGCACTGCAAGTTCTGGTTCCCACATTAAATATTTTTTTAAAAAAAATTTGAATTATTTTTAAGAGTCTGATTTGCTTGAGTGTCAGAGAACTTATGTTAGAACTTCTGACTTCCATTCCAAAATGTATTAGGAGCAAGGTTGGAAGAATGGCATAGCACAGCTTGAGAAAAATATCTTTCCTCATTATATCTACCATTGGTGCTGATATGGCTTCTACTTGAATTTGAATTATAGCTAGTTTTTATACAAATTTTCCAAATGCCCTTCCTTTTAAATGCCTAACCCACTTGCAGATACACTCCTAGAATTTTTTCACTTCCATTAATTAAAACTCTGTCCAGTTCTCCCTTATTTTATTATGAGCCTTCCTTGAACAAAGAAAAGGCTATGAAGGATGTTAACAGGCTATATTTGCAGTAGAAATATTACTGAAACCACTGCAGCATATGAAAGAGAACAGGAGTCCACACATAGAATAACTCCTTCAGATTTCTATAAGAAATGTCGCTGAAAGTTGGGATTTATTAATGTGATGCATTGCTTTTATTGCCTCTCCCCACAGTGGTGGATCTTAAAGTTAATTTTTACTTTGATGGTATGTATAGATGAAGAAAGAAATTAATACTTGCTCAGAAGAGAAAAAGAACATTAAAATGTACACTGTGATTTAAGTAGTAAATAACAATGTACATATTTTTGAAAATTTTAATATGAAGCTCATATGATTCTGAGAAGTATACGATTTTTAGAATAGAACTGATAGACAGAACTCTGAGAATGACATGAACTTGTTGAAATGAGCCCAGAGGAAGGCTATGAAGATGATCAGATGGCAAAAGCAGGCTGAGAGTTAGGATTACTCATCCTGGTGAAGAGAAGGCTGCTCTTGTAGCAGTCTTCTAGTAGTTAAAGGATACCATCAAGAAAGCAGGAGAGGGCTTTTTGCATGGCCATGTAGTGATAGGACAATGTGTAGAGGGTAGATTTAGATTAGATATAAGAACTATGTTCATCACTCTGGTGATGGGAGGCATTGGAACAGATTGCCCAGACAATTTTTAGATTCCTCAGTACTGTAGAGGTTCAAGGCCATGTTGAATGGGAGTCTGAACAAACAAATCTGGAGGAAGGGGTCCCTGTCCAGGACAGAAGGATGGAAACAGATGATTTTTATGGCTCCTTCCAACTCAAATTATTCTATGATTGAGAAATAAAATGTTTTGATCTCTTTTTTTTTTTTTTTTTTAATTTTTTTTTTTGATAACATTCAGTTAGTATCTTCTTTAAGTAGTATCACTTGTGAATGTCTTGTCAGAAAAATGCAGGATTCTGTACAGTCCTATGTATAAAAGTGTTGTGAAATTGCCCTGTCTTGAAATTTCTTCTGATTACAATCCCTGAATTTGCTAAAAATTCGAAATGAAATTAATGTCCATGAGAAATATATTTTCAGATTTACTGAAGTAAACTTTCACGTAGCCAGTTGCCTCCCAAGTCACAGTCATATCCATCCGTCTATATCACTGTTATTACATCAGCTTGTTGTGACGAGATAATATTGCCATTAGAGGCATATTCAAGCTACCTTTGATAAACTATGATTACTTGTTTCCATTAGCTGCTATGCACTATGCCAACTGAATCCATGAATATTTTCTTCTCTTTCACTCTCTCTCTCTCTGTCTTTCTCTGTCTCTCTCTGTCTCTCTCTCTCTCTCACACACACACACACACACAAATGAAGTAGAAAAAGGAACAGTGATTTTTTTGAAACACTGATATTCTTCAGATCTGTAGCTATGCATGGATTAAACTTAGAATTTATTTTCTTTTTCAAGACTGTTGTCCAGTATGGAGAGCAAATTTTCCATAATAGGCAAGCAGTTGCATTATGAGACTCAAATTTAAAGTTTGAATTAATTCTCCAGAAAAAAAAATCTGTGTGATATCACTGATAAGTAATTCATTTTGTTTGCTGTCATTATCTTGTAAATAATATCAAATTTTCACTAATAATTTTAGATTTCCTAATATTTTGAGGTGGAAATGTTCAGTAATATTTTTTCTTCCATTTAGTTTTTAATACCATGATAGGAAAATGAATAGAAGATAAAAACACACTTTGCAATGAAAATGTTAACAGCTATCTTAACTTCACTAATAACTGCAGTTACCATAATGTAGACATTTACATGTGGTGACTTTTTCCTGTCTAATAACAAAAATCTATATCACTGATCAGGACCAGATGAATAGTTAGTTTTTATCTGAATAACTGCTTTTAAGTAATTATTCTTGAATAATAACCTTGTCCACTTAACATTTAAACACACATTCACCTTTCATATATACTATACATTCATGCATCTGCACATGATTTGTACTTTTAAAACTAGACTAGAAAGTTACACCCACCAGGTTTTTACTTTAAAATGTAAGTATATAGTTTTTTTGGGGAAAAAAAAAAAAAAAAAAAGAAAGTAAAAATGAAATGGAATCTCAAAAAGGAGATTTTGCTTCAAGTCCACAAGCCCCGGTATTAATGCATTATTCCTTCTGTGTGATGAATTCTCACAGAAAGCAAGTGAGCAACAAATTCTTGATATTGACTGCATGTAATATTTAACTTTTCCAATATCTACATTTGAATTTTCAATATAATGTGAGATCAACCACAACAAGTTGTAACAAGGTAAAGATGCTGATATAAACTAGAAGATAGGAAGAAGAGAAAAGGTAACTAGCTTTTACTTCAGAAACCAGAAAAAGGGATTACTTGTCCACAAGGTGAAGCAAATGGCAAGAACAGTGTAACATAACTGATATTTAAAGGTACATCTGATTCTTGATTTCCAGTCACTTAGGGCTTTATGGAATTTCAGGATTTGTTTAATTTTCTAAAGGAATATCAGAGATCTTAGAAAAATGAACCATGAAATAATCAATGAGAAGAAAATACATTGGATTTTCAAGTTCTACAAGAACTTTTGCAAAGCCTATACTTGTGTCTATAAAGTCATGGTCAAGGTAATCGTGTTTATGTAAATATGATACTGAATTTTAAAATTTTGGTTTCAATGCTACATTTACTCAATCAAGTTCACATGAAATTGGAAAGCATGCATCATTATTTTCACACCACAAGAATTCAGGAGGGAGGAGGTTTGAATGGAAGCTTGGCACATATGAAGAGTAATGATTGAATGGTCCAATCTGAGATGCAACTAGACTCCAAGATAGAGATTTTTTCAAGACAGATGATAAAACTAGACATAGATGTTGCACGGATTAGTACAACATACATTTTTGAAAATGAATTTAAAGCACAAGTCACACAGTATAAAGCACAAATACACACAGGCTTGGACTTTACAAATTAGCATGGGCAATACTTCACTAAAGATGCAACAGAAAGTGTTCCATGTGATTGCAATGGAATAACTCTACAAGCTGCACTAGAAAATCCACCACAGGCTGTGAACACAAACAGGTGACCACCATGTTAATGCTGTAGTAGCATCGTTAGTCTAATTTGCTCCACAGCAAGATATTTCAATTTAAAAAAATCTAGTTCTTCACAAAAGAAATTCTGTTCATTCCACCACTGGCAAATGAACTAGCTGAACCTGGCATATGGTTGAATTCTTGTCACCTGTGATCTGTCCACAGTTGCATAATATATTTTACCACTGTTTATTTCTCAGATTGCCTCTGTCTTCAGGGTTTTTCATTTATTTTCTAATTCTCTGTCTTATTAATCACATTCTTCTAAGCAAAGGAGCAACTGGCATTCAGGCTCTTTCCATGTCTTACTGATAGGCACGGCATTGCTTTCCTTACACAGATCAGAAAAGCCCTCCAAAGATTTTTCAAATACCCTTCTCAGCTCTGCATCTCTCATTTTTTTTCTCTCCAGGAAGCCACCAATCAGAACAGAAAAGCTGCTAGAAAGCACAAGTTCCACTTTTTGTCTGCTTCTTGAACTGAGAGAAAGGGGTAGGAGGACACCAGTTATGTTTTCATCTAAATAAATAAGAGGTCAACTACTGAAAGAGGAAAACCTATTTCCTATGAATGCTTTCTAAACTATAGGAAACATCCAAACCACGGTATTGAAAAAAAATAAGGCAAGTATAAGGATTTGCTCATAGATTTATAAGTATATGGTATTACCTGCACCAGTAGTAGATACAAGTTTGGGCTTGCTGCGTGCTCCATCACCTTTTGTTGTGTAGGCTGTTACAGTGAAGGAGTATGTAGTATCAGGCTGAAGTCCAGAAATTATCATTTCCTAAGATGAAATAAAACAAGAAAATTAAAAATTGACTGATTTCTAGGAGTGTACTGAATCTGTAAGACAACTTCTGTATAATACACACAGCACATGCTTTGGTGCTACTGGAAGTACAAGCAAGCATTTGAGAATGCCAACAGACTGTTCTGTGTAAAATAGTGCAATAATTCCCTTTCTTAAAAAATTAAAGCACACTTCTAAATAGAATGCTCCAGGTAGTTTAAGGCACAAGGTCAGTTTCTAAATGGTGTGAACAGTGAATAAGCCCTTATGAAATATATTGCCTGAGGAACCTAACTGATATCGTGAAGTGTGTGCATATGTGGAAACAAAATGCATTTTAACTCAGACATTTAAAGGACAGCACTGACATAGTTATAAGATGCCTACAGAATAAGTACATTGCAGTTGTATCCACACTTTTAATATCATTGTGGTTCAGCTGAGTAAGAAAACCACTTTTGTCTCATAGCACTTTATTTTCAGTCTCTTACTGGTTGAAATTTACACCTAAAGATCTCAAAGGGATTGAGAAATCATTCAGTCTAGAAGTCTAGAAGAGCTAACTAAAACACCATAATATGATCACAGACTAAATATGACAAATTAAAAAAGTAGCTATAAGACAAGCAACTTTTTGGCTAGTACATGCACACACACACATACGACGGTGACTTCAAGGCCAGCCAACTGAGATGAATGTTATAAGGGCATGCAAAGGAAGTTGAGACTCAATACTCACAATGTAAATAATTTCATTTATAAATATAAGAGGACAATATTTACAAGTAACTAAAAGGTCATAAATTTGTGACTCATCTGCTTCCAGTCTGTGACCACTAGATTACTCCTGTGCATTTTCACATGCTGAATGTATTTATGTTAAATTTCACCGCTGTCAGAGAGATGGTATATGTATGTATCAAAGACTTTATATAAAGAATTATGGATCAAACTAACCACAGGACATGGATTTTTCCAGATACTGGCTATGAGCTCAGTACAGAGGTGGATAGGACTTGGCATTTTATTTGCCATCCTTTATTAACAATGCAGGAATAACAAGCTAATGTTCACCAGGAACGGGAGAAAAAAAAAAAAAAAAGAAAAGAAAAGAAAAGAAAAATCACACCAACAGAATAGAAACATATTTAAAACAAGCAACAGACCAAAAGAGCAACAGTAACAACAAACATACCAACCCACCCCCGAAACCCTGTGGAATCTATCTCAGAATGGAATTGAGCTTAAAATCCAAAATCATTAATACACATTTTTCTTCTTTCAGAGGAACTCTCAAACTGATATTAGCAGAATAAAATTGTAAAATAAAATAATAAAAAAAGAAAAAAATCACCTTTTTAAACAGTGTTGAAACTATCATCCTCATTTAAAACAAGCAGTACTTCATGGTGTAACAGAGATGCGATTGCATGTAGCGCTGTCACTTAGAAGTCTGACTTGGATACAGCAATCATGCAGGGCTTTTGACATTAGTGCTAGTGTGCCTAATACAGTTACTGAATTACCCAAAAAGAAGTACAACTAACTTCAACCTTTAGCTACAAAAATAAAAGGTACGCTTCAAAAGAATACAGAAAAACTTTCAACTACTTGCAATTCCAAACCATTCTGGTTTTATTATTCTAACAGCATTTTTTAAGAAGGAAATTATGAAGCAAGGTTAGTAACAGCCTAAAAATAAGAAAACATAAACCATTTATGTGAATTTCAAGATCATGCTAATTCTCAGAGCAAACAAACAACAAAAAATCCCCACTCCCTCTGGTGAGGGAAAAAAAAGAAGTGCCATACAGGAAAAAAACTGGATGTTGGTGCATGCATCTTTACATATGACAAAAAAAAAAAAAAAAAAAAAAAAACCCAAAACAAACAAAAATCAACATTCATTTATTCTGGCCAGTCAAAAACTACTCACATGTTCAGTAGTATCATCATATTCCCACTGATTGAGAGAAAAGAACATTGGAAAGAAAAACAAAAGAAGTGAAAAGAATATGTAGCCTGGTTGAGTTAATCTTTTCTTCTTAATAGTACAATAATTAAGAAAGATGTCTGGAAAAATCGTGTAGAATTTGAGTTAATTGTATAGACTTATGTAGAATGTGGTTAATGAAATCAGGCCAGACATTTTTAATTCCACATCTGCTCCCCTCAAAAAAATCTCTCTCTCTCTTTCCTTGAAAGACAGAAAAATTAATGAATCTTCTTGTATCACATATTAATATTTTATGATGGACTGTATTAGCAAAAGCCACAGAGACAAGATTAAATTCTATGTGGTTTATTTAATCACGTTACCAGGCTATGTGCTTTATTTTCTCCAAATTAATTCAATGCCTTATTAATAGTACAATGCCATGATTTTTCAGACTTGAAACCTAACCAGACCAAGGTCGTATACAGTCAAGGTCTTTGCACTCTGTACAAGCCCTGATCATGTATCATAAAAATAAATGAAGGGAGGCGTACTGAAAGGAGAAAGGAGGTGACTAACTTGAAAGTCAATTCAAAGCCAAATTTGGATAAAAGGAACAAAGGCTATATAATACTTGAGCTCCAATATCACACCTAGACTTCCCTTCTAATATTCCAGCATTTAAAAATGATTTTATACTACTACCACATAGAAGCTAAAATTGAAAACATGAGCAAGAAAGAAGAGAACTAAAGCACAGAATGATTTCTTATTCGGTCTCCTCTCTTCTTACTTTCAAAATCTTTTCCATCTTTCTCTTCACTGAATTTAATTTGCAAGAACATTAAATTTTGGGAAATAGATTTAAGTTTTATTTAAGTACATTAATACAGATTGATAGACAGAGAGGCAAATGATTAATAATGGCTTTTGGGAATTGAGATAATACTTAAAGAATTGTCTTGACAGCAAAATGGAGTGCACACAAGACCTGATATTAAAGTAGTTCTACAAAGCTGAAAATTAGAACTAAGCCTATAAGAAAAAAGAGAAAATAAAAACAAAAGAAGCCAAATTTAATGCATTTATTCAAATTAAAGAGAAGAATTTCTCTCTTCATGTTAAATTTCTTCAGTTCTTAGGATCTGCAGTCCTTAAATTGACCTAGTTGCAAGAGGTATAATAGTTTCAATATTGACTTGTAACTTCAGTGCTAGAAGGCTTGGGAACTTCCAGTTTAACAGAGTAAAAGGATAAAAGGAACAAAGGCTATATAATATTTGAGCTCCAATATCACACCTAGACTTCCCTTCTAATATTCCAGCATTTAAAATGATTTTATACTACTACCATGTAGAAGCTAAAATTGAAAACATGAGCAAGAAAGGAGAGAACTAAAGCACAGAATGATTTATTATTCAGTCTCCTCTCTCTGCATATTCCAATCAGTGAAACTCTATTGCTGACGATATTTAAGCTTAATGTTATCAGACTTGTGCTTTCATCATGTCTCATAATTTATAAAACAGATATGCAATTTCACATCCCAAACCTATTGATATGAATAATGACAAACATAAATACCTCACTGCTTTCTAAGGTCACAAAAATAAATTCATTTCCTCTGAACTGTGTGATAAGGTAAATACACGATTATGATAGAAACGCAATAGTAATGGTTTAACAAAGGTCTCTCATTTCACTTAAGGCTCTCCATATAAATAAATAAATACTGGGTGGTTGAATCAGTGCAAATTTTGTTACATTGGCTGCGACCTGCCCAAATACTTCTGTGCCCGTATAGCTCTAAGCATAGCTATAGGAAGAAGTTCCAAGGCTTACAGGAACCAGCAGAATGACATAGCTTTGGGTATATGCCTGTACAAAAGGATGATTGTGATTAGTTCAAGAATATTTAAATATAAATATTTTGGAAAGAGATGAGATGAAAAAAACTGTAGCTAGTAGTATGGAAAGATCTAAATAGCTGTTTAGAAAATTGAAAGTATTCATTACAACACTTAAAATATAGGATGCTTCAGTTACCTGTGCATCAGCCAGCATGATGTCCTTCAGCATGGGCTGACCCCTTGGCTCTCCATTTTCCATTCTTACATAGTGGACCTGGTATCCTCGAATCTGACCATGCTGCTTATTGGGTACAGGTGAGCGCCATGACACTTTAACAGCAGTAGAGTTGACAGCCTCTACCTCGACTTTGCGAGGAGGACCACTAGGAACTGGAACAACATCATTGGATAAAACAAAATTACAGGCACCTGTCCCACCCATGACTTTTGCCTTTTTTTTTTTTTTTTAAAGGGGTAGACTCACTATGTTTTCTCTGAAGAATACAAATGGTTCAACAAATATAAATGCTCAATCAATCTGCTCTACCTTTCAGTGAAAAGATCAAAAAACATGACTGATGCAAAAAAAAATGGAAGAAAAAAGAGTATTAGAGAAATAGAAAAACATGTAAAAATGCACAAAAGCCAAGGAAGATGCTTTGGGAGTCAAAGCATTACAGTACAAAGAGGTATTGTAATCACTGAAATAATAACAATAAGAAAAACACAAAAGATTTCCAAAAAAGTTTCCCTTATATTGTTTTGACAAGTTCTTTGTTTGTTTGCTTGCTTTTTTCCTTTTTTTTCTTTTTTTTTTCTTTTTTTCTTTTTTTCAGAAGTATAAAAAGGAGGTTGATAATAAGGCTGTCTTCTGTCATTCTAAAGCATAGAAGAAAACAAAACATGTGGAGCATCAGCTTTTTGAGATAAAAAACAAAACAAAACCCAAAAAAAAAAAAGAAAGAAAAAAAAGGTAAAAAGAAAAAACCTAAACAAAAAAAGAAATTAAAAGTCAAAAATTACAAGACAGAACAAGAAAACAGTTAAAAATACATGAAGAACATTTTGTACATTTCAAAAAATAATGGTAAAATGAAGGAAAAGGTAGGAAGACCTTTCCCCTATGTTATTTTAATGTTGAAAGAGGAGAACGACGAACATGTAGGGGCTCAAAGGGGCAGTAGAGTCACTCCATTGACAAAAAAGGTGTTTTCTTTAAAAAAGTAAAAATATCATATAGATAAATGAAGCACAAGTCTTTGTTTGAAAATTAACCCCACAAATTGTGATATCTCTGAATTGAGGAAAAAGAAGCAAAAATTACTGTTAGGTTATTTAAAATATAGCAGATCGAGAGAGGCGCAAACTGATGTAGAGGAGGCAACATACCATCTTCATCTGTGCGAATCAATACTGCTAAGCTCTCTGGGCCAGGTCCAACATCAGTGTGGGCGGTCACAGAGATCCGGTACTCAGTCCATTTTTCCAGCTGTTCCAAAAGGTATTGGGTACTGTCCGAGGAAATTCCCAAAATTTCATGGGGTTTGACATCTTCTCCATCAATCTCAACGTACTTGATGGAGTATGCAGTGATAATGCCATTCTGGTTTTCCACAGGTGGAGGTTTCCAACTTACCAAAATGCTAGTGGAGCTGGGACTTGTGCAACTAATATCTTGAGGAGGAGCAGATGGCTCTGGTTTCAGTAGTGGGTTAAAGGAGGATTTGAGTGAAAGGATAGAAGTGATTGAAAAAAATGAACAAAAGAAAAAAATAAAAATAAATAAACAGTAACAAAATGAAAATAAAAACTAAACAGGAAAAAAAAGGGTAGAAACTTAAAAAGCAAAACATCAGATAATCATATGCACCTTGGCTTATTAACATGAGTAAACAGAAAATGAATAGACTAATTAAATAGTGAAAAATCATGTAGGGGAAATATATGACAACAAAACCTCAAAATAACATTACCTACCTGTATTAAAATTCTTCTTGAAATAAAAACAAAAACGTGACAGTTCTATGGCTACTTATCTATCCTTGTAAACAATGCAATTAGTGCAAGTTATAATATTTTAAATTATGCATTTGATATGTTTATTTACAAATTTTGAATGTACTGCCTTTAGTTGGGTTTCCTTCTATGAAAATATTTAGCCTCTTACAGAACACATTTTAACTTGCAATAATTGCTAGAAATTAGCCCAAATATTTCTTGTAGCCTCCCCACTATCATAAACAAATTATTCTATTTTATTTATTGACATTTTTACTCACTGAGTCTGTCTGACCCATATTAACAACAAATGACATTTGAGTCGAAAGTATACTAGAAACATGCATTCAAAAGAAGATGAAAAAGTCTTAGTCAAAGATTTACCTACCAGGAACAGTGTCACGCTTGCTGATTCTGACTTTAACTTTTACTTACCATAGATCAGCTGTAAGCTTTTTTTTTTTTTTTTTTTTTTTACTCCTCTTGGACACACCTTTGCTAGCAAAGAATACGTCCTACCAGTAATATAGGTTATTCTATGGGAAAAACAGATATCTGGACCCAAACACTGTGTCAAGAAAGCAGGTATTAATTTTACAAAGAGAGTTCACAACCTTCAGAGCCTCAGAAAGGTGAGGCTTTCTGTTTCTTATCTGTTCACCAATGCTGATATTATGGAGCAAAAGTGCTCACCTTTACTGCTTCATAACTAAAGGAGTTTGTTAGCATAGCCACCTTTTCCAGAGTATTAAATCATGCATGACATTCCACTGCTTTCATTGAGATAATTCAAGTACTGAAAGCTCGGTATGCATTCCTGTTCTTAAATGAACTTCACCTTAGCAAATTGTGTACATAGTAATTGAGAGCACAGAGCACTTAAAGCACACACACACACAAAAAAAAAAAAAAAAAAAAAAAGCATAGTTTAAATTCTTGAGCAGACATGGACTTCTGCATTTCTGTCTTCTCTCTTGTATGGAAAACAAAGATTTTGAGATCTGTATGTGAGATATGTATAAATCTTTTATTTATTAATTAATTCATTTATCTTTTTATCTACTGTTTTGTTCCCATTTCTAAAGGAGAAAGAGAAACAAATGGATTTTTGGTATTTATGCCAGGCACATCAAATAAAAGTAATACAGAAAGCCTAGGACCCTGCTGTGACCTATCACATTCACAGATGTGTATTTCAATTCCCTACAGTTCTTTTTAAAGGGATCAATGTCTTTTCACTCAGTATGATACTCTGTTCTTCTGAAGGAAAAACGAGAGGGAATATATCAGCATTTCAACTAACTAAAGGAGATGGATAGAGGAACAAAAGGGAATTAGAGAATTATTGGTTTTTTTGTCTTTTTTTAATTTAACCTAATTCAAATTATCAAGTATTCAAAAATATTCATCTGTTTCTGCCATGAATTTTTAAAGGAACTAAAATGGAAGCAAAATCTTCCTATGTGATAATAAATTCCTCTAGCATCTTTCTCTGAAACCAAAATGAATGGCAGTAAAGTATACTAGTGAACACTGCTAATGAACTGATAGAAGTTATCAATTTTTAATTCTTGTCATTCTGCAAAATGCAAAGTATTGCTCTAATGTAACTTAGGATAATTCGTATAGGCTACCTGTATAAACAGGTTTATTAAAGCATGTATTTATTCTTAAAACATATAATATTTAGACTTGTTGAAAACTTTTTAGAAGATAACAAGTGTCTGCTTACATTCTACTGAAATCAATTAAATTTTATTAGCATCTGAGGGAATAAAGCCTCCATATTGTATTTCAGAAGGGAAAAATGGCAATGTGTTTAAATGTAAAACTTGCACCCTTGGCCTTCAAATGTTTAATCTCCATGCACAGTTTACATGCCCTTCACCTATTAAAGAGAATGAAAATACTAAGCTGAAATGAGCACAGGAATAAATAAATACTCTTTTCTACAACAAATTATTGATTTTGGATTATTGAAGTCAAACAAGGCATTGACACTAACTCTAAAAGTAGTTTTCATGCTATGTAGTATTTTTGTATGTTTATTCAAAATGCCTTAGAAATACTTCAGAATAACATTTCCCTTTGGTGAAATTTAAGATATAAAGCACTACATCTCTTGTTACATTAATTATCATTAATATTATAACAATAACAAATAATGTTGGTGTGATCACATCTGTCACAGAATACAAATTGAAAAAAAAATCATAGAAACATATGTAACAGAAGCATAGATTATCCTGTAAAACTAGCACTTCTGGAAATTATCCCTATGTATCTCATTGTTTTAATTGAGTGCTAATTGAAATATGGAAAAATGCATGTATAATTCTAATATTTTGTACCACATCTGCATAGACTCAACTGATGTTTTTTTCCCATAAGCATCCACTCAAAAACAAACAAACAAACAAACAAACAAACAAACAAACAAACAAACAACCCCCCCCACAGTTTTCTACTAGAATAAATAATGAATGAACATTAAAAAAGCCCTGATAATAAATATGTAATTTTAACTCAGGAAGAGTAGCTAGTATAACAGTTATGAGGAAATTTTGATACAGTCAGCAGCACCCTACAACTACAAGGATATGCTCCAGGAGCAACGTATTATTACAGGAAACATACAGTGTGAGTGGCCATGTGGAATTTTATGAGTGGAGGATTGTTTCTTATCTACACTTTTCTTTTTCTATAGTTAATGAAAAATCACCCACATCTTAAGTTGATCACAATATTTTAAGTATTCTGCTGTATTAAGAACTGGGAATGCTACATTTTTTGTCATTCCACTTTCTTCTCTTACTATCTTATTGGGTTACTTAGACAAATATCTTCGTCAAATATAACAGGATAAAGTTAGAAAGGAAAAACACCTACTTGACTGCATGGTTCTTGCTGAGATTTCTGCTGTTGAAGCACCCAGTCCCTGTGGAGAACGTGCTGCTAGACGAAATAAGTACAGGCTATTTGGCTTCAGGCCTTGGAGACGATAAGATGTAGTAGGTTCAGTGGAAACCCGGTGCTAAAGGGAAGTAAGTAATAAGACAGTCAAATGTCTAACATGACTAATATTCACAGAATCATAGAATCATTTGAGTTAAAGGTCATCTAGTCCAACTTTTGCAATGAAGAGGGGCACCTACTAGATAGATCAGGTTGCTCAGATGCCATCCAGATTGACCTTGAATGTTTTCAGGGATGGGACATTATCCATCTCTTTGGGCAACCTGTTCCAGGGTCTCATGGTCATTAGTGTGAAAAACTTTTTCCTTATATCCAATCAAAAACTAACCTTTTTGCTTTGAAACCATTTCCCCTTCTCCTATCATAACAGATTCTACTAAAGACTCTGTCCCCTTCTTTCATATACCCCCCCTTCAGATACTGAAAGGCTGCTATCATTTGTCCCCAGGGTTCCCTCTCCATTCTTTTCTAAAGGCTGAACAGCCCTGTCTTTGCAGGGGAGGTGTTCCATCCCTTGGGCCCTCTGGACATTCTCCAAAAGGTCCATGTGTCTCTTGTACTGAGATTCCACATCTGAATGCAATGCTGTGCGGTCTCACCAGCGCAGAACCAAGGGGCAGGATCACCTCCCTCAACCTGCTAGTCATACTTTGGTGCACCTCAGAATATGGTTGGCTTTCTGGGCTGCAAGGGCACTTCGCTGGCTTATGTCCAGCAGCCCATCCACCATATCCCTTCATGCTTTCCAGAAAGAACTTTTTCAGTCAGAAATTCTGAATTATGTACCAATATATATTATAATTTTTTTATAAATAATATAGATAATATTTTAATAATTAATAAATAGCAATTAATAAATAATATAAATAACATTTAATTTTATTAATTTAATATTTACTAATTTAATAATTAATAAATAATATATATAATATTTATAAGTAATATAAATACTCTGATTATAGCCCTTCTAGCAACATTTTAACATACAAATTCAGGGAAAAAATATCAGAACAAAACCAAACTAAAAGAGAACAACAAAAAAAAGAACATACAGCTTTTAAAAATATTTTTTAAAGCAGACAGATTAATGGATTAAATTCTAGACACAAATATTATTTAACTATTTTTTCCAAAGCATAGAAGGGTATCAATTCAATAACATAGGAAACATAACATGAAAGTCCTGTATGACAGTGAACAACAGGGATATGTTATGAGAGTAATCTTTGATTTAAGGATAACCAATTGTTAAATTTGTGTTCAAAATTTTAGGAAGAAAATTCTTCTACAGGGTAATTCTTCTAAAAGAGACATCTAAACAGGTATCTGAATCCTATTTGGAAGATAAATGTGCATATTTATTTGTTTATTTATTTATTTATTATTTATATATCTATTCCCCCATAGAAATGCTTATGCATGCATTTATTTATTCACTTTTTATATGTGAAGCTGTCATGAACATAGGCTCAGCTGAAGAATCAGCAGTGAGAGGATGCTGTAGAAGAAATCAGTGTCAGTGATATTCTCCTGCTACCTTCTGAGACTGACATCATTTTTCTTTTGATTGGGATACGTGGCAATATCACATGGTTTTGATATTAGAAGAACAGTTTATTCTACAGACTATAGTACCTACAGCAGAGGCACTCAAAAATCTTTACAGAATAATGGTTTAGAAAAATTGCATAAAAAAACCACATTTTATTCTCAAAGACTATTTAAAAAACATTTGAAAGCACCATATACAATAACAAAGAGAAATAGATATCTAGAGCTGTAAAAAGACTAATCCATCAGAATTTTAAGACGAATTATTAACAAGAATTTAAAAGATGCATGATATTTTCACTTACCTCCTCCCCATGTTCCCCGTCTTTGTAAACCAATTCATAGCTGGAAATAGTATCAGAACGTGGAGGTGTCCAGGAAAGTAATATGCTTGTTTCAGACTCAGGTTCTGCCTTGAAGTTCAATGGCTGACCAGGGACTAGAGAGAAAAAGAGTTTAGCAGTGTTGCCAGCCGTTGTGGCTTTTTTTTTTTTTTTTTTTTTTTTTTAATAGTTGTTGCTGTTGTTGTTTGTTTCTATTTAAATACATACTGTTCCAATTCTTTAAGTTATTATCTGAATAATTTACACATTATGTTATAATTGAATTTACTGAACTTAAACAATAATAAATTAATCTGAACTCAGAAAGAGAACTACATATTTAAATTGCTTATTACAAATTGCTTTGGATTTCAAACAAATGCTTCACCGTTCAAATAATGCACACAGAGCTGAAGCCTGGTATTGAATATCATCAAGTTTAACCCCTGTATGAAATAGGAAATACATGTAATATGTTTAAACATTAAAACATATGTGTATATAAAAAAGGCCTATACGAGAAATGCTGGTCTTATAGAAGATGGGATAGAAAACAGCATTAAAGTGATTACATGTGTTAATTCATAAATAACCGAGTTGCTAAAGAACTATTGTTCTTTAAGTACACTGAATGCTTTTACAACCCAAGAAGTTATAACTTACTGAAAAGATATTCAGTAGTGTTCTTTTTAAGTGACATATTTGCACAGTTGTGGTATTTTTATGAGTGGTATTTTTATAATATAGCTGGATTTCTAAAGACATTTTAATTGCAAGAGCAAAACCACAACTTTGATTCTCTAAGTCAAGAATATCTTCAGTTTTTAAGTCTTGTGTAACAGCTGCAGAAATTACCTCCATCATTTGGTACTGAAAATTTATGCCAAATAACATTGACTGGGAAAAGGAGGTAAAATATATCCTGTAATTGGAATACATACATTCATTTTGGCATATAACTTCTAAAATATTAGTTTCAGTTAATATTGATGTTGCTAATGCATGAAACAATCTTCATCAGCATATCTATCTTTTCAAAAACAAAACACAGCATGCTCTCATTTTAAAAGAAAAGAATATCAGATGTGATGCTTAGAAAGAACAGGTATGACAAGTATGATATGATAATAATTGTCTTACTAACACTTTTCAGGGTAGAATTTTATTATAATATTACAAGTATGTTTCTAATGTACAATAAGAAACTTAAAAATACCATGAAGAAAATGGTAAAAATAACTTAGGACTATAATTATCTTCTCCAAACTTCTACAAATTCTGTAAATCACAGAATTTTTGTGTATGCTAGTAGAGTTCTGATATCTAATCTTTAAACAGAGAAATAAACTGTACAATTAAAGTGCATAGTCAAGCTGCATGGATTTTGTGATGTCCTACCACTGATATTTATATTTTTTTTAGAAAAAAAGGACAAAATAGAGAAAGAAATGTGTAGAATAACGTTGCCTGTTTCTGATGAAATTAGTGAGGGTGAGCAGAAGAGTCTCTTTACAGAAAGAAAGATGCATAGGAGTAACATGTAATTTTTCTAAAACTTACTTTGTGTAAAAAGAGAATACTTCCTGGCTACCACAAAGTACAGAAAGGTTTTGTTTTAAAGAAAATATAGAATCAGAGAACTACAGAACATACTGAGTTGGAAAGGACACAGAGTTGAGTTCAACTCCTGGCTCCACGAAGAACCACCCAAAAACTGAATCAAACATCTGAGAGCATTTTCTAAACACTTCTTGAACTCTGGCAGGTTTGGTTACATGGTCATTTCCCACGGGAACTAGTTTCAGTGCCTGACAATCCTTTAGATGAAGAATTTTCTAATGCACGACTGGAAATTGATGCAGTTTCATATCATTGTCTTGTCCTTACACTGTCACGAGAGTGAAGAGATCAGCGCTGCCCCCTCTGTTCCCACTGTGAAGAAGCTGTAGGCCACCATGAGGCCCCTCCTCAGTCTCCTCTTTTCCAAGCTGAACAAACCAAGTTTCCTCAGCAAACCAAGTTACATACATTTTGACCTCTGGACTCTTCATCATCTTCATAATCCTTCTCTGCCAATTCCCTAATAGTTTTATGTCCTTTTTATATTGAGGCACCCAAAACTGCACACAATACTCAAGCTGAGGCTTCACCAGCACAGAGCAGAGTGGGACAGTCTCCTCTCTCAGCCAGTTATAGTTGGGCTTTGCCTGAGGAACTCCTGGATATGGTTGGCACTTTTAGCTGTCAGAACATACTGATAACTCATATTCAACATCAAACAGAACTCCCAGTCACCTTCCCAAAGGGCTGATCTCCAGTCTCTTCTCTCATACTCCGTACATACACCCAGAGCTGCACTGTTTGAGGTGTAGAATCTGATGCTTGCTCCTGCTAAATTCTATGCAATTGGTCATTGCCCGATTTGTCTACCTTCATGGGAGTCAACAGCTCCTCGCAATTTAGTGTCATCTGCAAATTTACTTAGATTACTTCAAGTCCTGCATCCAAATAATATATGTAAACACTGAAGGGAATTGGCCCTCAAATGGAGCCCTGTGGAATTCCAGCATAATTAAAAGCACGATGTTCCATTTCAGTGAGCGTTAAAATAAAGGGAAACATTTATTTTGTTAAAGTAACTGAGCAACACAGTTAGAGTTACAATATCACCTTTACCTCATAAAAGGCCACAAAACTTCGAACAGCAGCTTATGTTTTATGTATCACAATATTTTTCTTGTGCTTTACATTTCCATTAATGATTGTGAGGAGAAGATGGAGGGTACAAGTGCTAAGTTTGAATTGAGCTGGGGAGGGGAACACTCTGTGCACTCAAGGGGCATCCTGCTCTGAAAAGGGAGCTGGAAAATGAGGAGGAAGTGGTGGATGGAATGATGAGAATTCAGCAATATTGAGGCTGAGCCCAGGGAAAGAAGAGATCTTGCAGGGATGGAGAGTACAACTAGTAGAGAACTCTGGGAGCTCTAGAGGACAGCTTTGGAAACTACATGCAGTGTCCAGTCACACACCTGGGCAAACATGAGACAGAACTGCACAAGTTGGTGTGAGTGGGAGACAGCCCTGACAACCAGGGGAGAGAAGAGGATGTCTTCTTTATTTAGACTCATCAAACGCCATCTGGGTTCTGCATCCGGTTTGGGGCCTCCAGTAGAGGAAGGATTTCTATAAACATGTCCAAGTTCAGTGAACAGTCAGAAAGGAGAGTCTGTGGGACTGTGGCTCATCCATCTGGGAGAAGAGGCAGCTTTAGCGGTACCCAGAGGCAGCCCTAACATCATCAGAAGGAGATGGAGGAGTTGTTGCTAGGCTCTGCACATGGTGTGTGGCAACAGCATGAGAGGCAGTGGCATAAGATGAGATATGAGAGGCTCAGACTGGAGCAGAGGAGTAACCTCTTTCCCCAGCAGGACTGTGGAGATGGGACTTATGCAGGCCAAGCTGTCTCAGGTGTGAGGCATTTCATGGAATATTCTCCACTGTAGCTGAGCCTGCTGGGCTGGAGACCTCTCCTTCTGCCAGTATCAGGACCCTGTGATACTGCAATCTATGTATAGAAACATGAACTGTAGAACATAGGCAGTAACTATAAATGACCAGTTGGGTGACCCATATGATAGCTGCTACTATACGTTATGATAATAAATACAGCAGCAAATGGAGAACAAAGGTTATTTCTTCTCTCTCTGCAGTAATATATTTTAAGAGCCTCACCCTCCCAGACTTCCTTTCAAATACAACTTTTTTAATCTGGATATCACGTGAAGACAAGTGGATGATTAACTGGGCTTTCCAAAAGACTGTTTGGTGAAAAAATATCTTGATGTAAAACTTGAAAAAGAATCCCAGATATTTTACAGCCACAGTTACACAAATCTGAAATTGAAAACACCAGATAGGGAAGATAGGGAAGAAGGAAAATGAATACAAAGGTAATGGAGACTTAAACTTTTTCACTAATAGGGAATCTAATACTCAATTAAAAAAAAATGTAGACGATAGAAAAGTAGAATAATAAGTTTTAAACTATTAAGTATTTATGCCTATATTACACATCTGCTAAAAAAAAAAAATCTTCATTGGCATACTGGAACTATGCTAAGCTGAAGGAACTGGTGCAGAAACTGGAAAATATCTGTAAGTAGAATTTGTATTATTTTAAAAATGTTTTTAATTACACAGATTAAATGTAACTTTCCATATTAGTGACACATGTGATCCAATCATAGAATGGGATCTTTTTGTATGAATACTGTCTCAACACCAACTTTTCTGCTTTGAGGTCTCCATAAATGTATGTTGAAGACCACAGACTTTCTTTGCAGTGAGTATACATCTTAATTCTCAGTAATTATATTAGTGAAAGAACTTGAAAACTCTGGCAAAGTAGCAGGCTTGTTACAACACATGAACCATTAATTCATTTTCCTTAAGCAAAGTTTGTGTTTGTGTATCCCGAAAGTCAGATATTTGACTTTTCACTGCTCTTTTCTGTACGTTCAAAAACTTGGTCTTCTATAACTGTTAAGATTCCTAATCTTCCATTTACAGATGATCTTTCGTTTAAAGTTAACAGCATGCTTTATTCTGCAATTTTCTTGTTTAAATAAGTATATATTTAGGGGTATACATTAGGGGTATACATTAGGGGTATACATTATCTAGAATATTTTTTCTGTCTCTATTTCTCCAATAATCTGCTACCTAATAAACTACTGACTCTCCTCTCTTTCTAATTTGGGAAAAAGAATAAAAACAGGATTGTCTGAATTCCTTCTGTAGTTATCCCCTGTCGCATGTTGAAAACAAAAGAAAATAAAAACACGCAACTTAGAGAAGCTTAGAGGAGACTGAGGTGGCCTCATTGTGATCCACATTTTCCTTATAAGGAGAAGCAGAGATGGACTGATTTATTCCCTTTGGTGACATGTAGCAGAACTAAAGGGAGACACATAAAGCTAAATTAGGGAAGGTTCAGATTGGATAGCAGAAATATGTTCTTTATTGAGAAGGCAGTTGGACACTGAAACAGGCTTTCCAGATCAGTGTTCATGGCATTAAATCTGCCAGATTTGGTGGTTACAAGACTCATTTGGATGATATTCTCAGGAATACTGCTTAATATTAGGAAGTCTTTTGTGGAACCAGGAGTTGAAATAGTTGATCCTTTCAACTGATCAGTTTGAGAAAAGAAAGGAAATATGACAAGATGCACAAGAACTGTGGACTGGGCAGACTAATGGATACATACCATTTTCAGATGAATTAAAAAATAAATAGCAGGAAATATCATACTAAAGCTTATATAGAAAATTCTTTATTCTAAAATTTATTGTTCGTAATTCAATTTGCCTAAATACCTAAACGGTCCCGATTCTGTCTTCATTATATTCATTTTATGGATATACTCAATATGGAATAGGGACACTGTTAAATGTAGAATCTGATACTGAGCGTCCCTTATGCAAAAAGGTCAGCCTTATAGCTGTTTTCTGATTATTTAATTTATAAAAATGGTACCTTTTTACACTGAAGAGAACACTACTGAAAATAGCTAGGCAAAAAGACAGTGCTTTTCTTTCACAATACTTAAATATGAAGATGAAAATAAAACTTTTATTTATTTATTTTGATGTTTGGTTTTATGATAAACATTTCCTTCTCTTCCCCTCAAAGTTCATGTTCCTAGTCAATAATTTGCATAGAAATCCAGTTTTCAATTTCAAGAGTTTCTACTGATCAGTAAGGCGAGAAACCACTCACAGAGTCCTTTCAAAGAATCATTCTGCCCTACTAACGAACAAAAGATTCTCATGAATAGGCTTTTCTGAACAAAATTTTTTAACCCAAAAATATCCAAATTGAAACACACATAACTGAGAAGAAAGTTTTGAAGGATACTAAGATAGAGGAGGTTGCAAGTCACAGCTATCAATCAGACTTTTTTTTTTTTTTTTGCATATACATGCTAATATCCCCCAAAGAGATTATGATTTGCAAGTTACATATTTATCCATAACAGGCTTATTTGCTTCAGAAAAAGAAAACAATCAAATCCCAATCACCATCCTATTATTATTTTTACATATAATTCTACTAACTTCATTTCTTCTGTTCATGATACTATTAAATTTACCTGGCATATACATATTTATGTGGATGACATTCAGCCTGAGCAATGAAAACAATTATATTTAGATTTAGATTACAATAAATCTGGTAGAAGACATTTCTTTCTGCAGTGCTCAATAAATGGATGAATCATAGTTTTTAAAGATAGACAGAACACTCTGCACTACACTTTCTTATATATTTATCTCTTAGGACTTTAAAAATTCATTTGCTTTCAAGCAAAAATATCAGTACTTAAAATTGCCACTTGCTTGCCACATTTTTAGTTTTGTTTCGATTTTCATCATCTCACATAAATAATGTCATGTCAATTCTGTTACAAAGCTGGAAACATGAGTTGAGACACTCTCCTGCACTCTTTAACATTGTCATAATTTCTTCAATTAATTATTCAAATAATTACAACAAAAATCAGAAACAAAAGGGCATGCTTAATGGAAAGTTTCTTTAATGCTATAACATATAGAGATTTTCTGACTTAACTTGAGCAAGTAATGCAACTTGGTTAGTCCAGCTGAATCTCAATGCTCATTATTTCAATTGCTTCATCCTTCCTTGGTGAAGCCGCTGACAAACTTGCTAATATAACAATATAGGAACATGAACTTTGAGGAAAAGAGAAGGAAATGTTTATCATAAAACCAAACATCAAAATAAATAAATAAAAGTTTTATTTTCACCTTCATGTTTAAGTACTGTGAAAGAAAAGCCCTGTCTTTTTGCCTGGCTATTTTCAGCAGTGTCCTCTTCAGTGTAAAAGAATGTAGACAAGAAGATCACTAAACCATCTTATTTTTTTTTTTCGTATGTGCATTCCAAAAAGTCAAATGTCAGTATAAAATACAGTACCTTAAAAATTTTACAGAAGTCAAAATTATCTAGATCTTTGCGTAATACAGCACTTAAAAAGTGTTCAGTTGCCATTCCTTATTAAAGGTGTATTAATGTCTACTTTGAATGAACAATTAGCATACAGACATAAAAACTATAACTGTCTTCAGTTATACTTAAATGCACTTAAAAAAAAAATAAATAAATAAAAATTGGAGGAATGCTACAATTCTTCAACAGGAAGCATCCTAGCAATAAAAATACAAGAAGTATCATATAATATTTTTACAGTAACACTCAATATAGGTTTCTCTAAACCATTAGACAAATCTTTTATTTCTTATTGCAATAATGAAACATGTTCTGTAGCATAGGTCCACCAGAACTTCTCACTTCTGATTTCATAAAAATTCTTATCAATATTATTCACTGTGCTAGTTTGTCTTTTGCTATTAAGATTAATTCATAAATCTAAAACTACTGTGCAGAACCCAAACAAACTAACTTCCTGCATAAAACAAGGAAATGATGATCTTGTGGGATGCTCTTTATAGAGTAGGCTGTATTTGTTATTATAAATAAAACTGTAAAGAAATGCCTGCATGTGCTTACAAAAGGGCAGTTTTTGATTTGGTTTGGTTTATGTATTTTCTTGATTTATGTGTTTTCAGAACATGACCAAGTATTTGCATATGCATACAATGCACATACATTTTATCTTTCCAAGAGCAATATTCAATAGAATGATAACACATAAGGGAGACATATGCTACATAAACAAAACACACTATCACAGTCAACTTTTCAAAGAAAGCTATTGAAGAACTACATAATAGACAACGCTGGTGCACTGCAAAATAGAAACTGTAACATTTGTCCTCCTTTGGGATGAAGTGAAAGAAAGTGTAAGGGAAAAATTTTGTCTCTTCAATGATAACTTGCACTGTGGAACTGAGAAGTTGTTATCCAAAAGAGCTGCCCTGAATGAACTATGTTTATTCTGCTTCCTCCCGTCCCCCTCAAATTTTGTTCTCTATAGCCTTACCTCCTGTTTGAGTGATGACTTGAATGTCACTGGAAAGTGGTCCGTCCCCAACAGAAGTAAAAGCAAGAACCTTCACAGAGTATGTTTTCTGGGGCACAAGATTCCCAATAGTAGTGATATGGCTATCAGCCACATTGTGTTTCAGCCAGCTGTTGACATGTTGAGTAGGGTCCATAGTATAATAAACTCTGTAACCTTGTATTTGTCCATTAGGTTCCTCAGGTTCTTCCCACTGTACCAAAATGGTGGTAGAGCTCAACATACGGGCCTGTACATTGCGTGGTGCACTTGAAGGTGCTTGCTCTGAAGTCCTTGTTGACACAGGCTCACTGGGTGGCCCTCGCCCAATGTTATTTACAGCGACTACCCGAAATTCATACTCTGAATATGGGCTTAGTCCAGCCACACTATAGCGTGTTGTGGCAACACCATCAATTTCTTTATATGGCTCTTCAGAGTTCTTGGGCTTGTGCTGGATTATGTAGTAAGAAACTGGCTCAGGATTTCCAGAGTCCCAAGTCAATGTTATGCTTGTTGCTGTGCTTTCTGTCACCACAGGTGTTCCAGGAGGTTTAGGTAAGGCTGAAGATGAATACCAAAAATTGAAGTTAATACTATATAACAGCAGGCATTAATTATTACATTAACATGTCTAAATGTACAAACAAAAATTTTAAAAAAACAGGAAGACTGTAGTGGAGAGACAATGTGATTTATTCAGAGCAAGATTCTGGTGATTATGATTTTCTCCAGAAGTTTATCAGAAAAAAATCCAGTTCTGTAGTAAAAGGCTTATTAATATAAAGACATGATACTGACTTTTTAGCTAACTCCCTTTATCATGCAGAAGAATAATCTTATAGACAATCAGTGGACCACTGAAGTTTAATTTTCAAATATTTCTGGAGTTTCTGACATCCACTTACTCAAGAACAAGATAACCAAACACCCAACAACTTAAAAAATCAAATGACTGTCTCTTAACTGTTTGTACAGTTGACAAATACATGCAAGATTATTAAGACTTTTATTTACTTCAAATGAAAGCTGAGAACTAAACATGGGAGAATAATGAAACACTGCAATTTAACTATCAGTATCAATATTATTGCTTTCTGAATCTATTTTTTGTCTTATAATATTGATTGGTTGGAGATTTCTTAGTTTTCTCCAGTAGAATTTATTTGCTCAGAATATGGACAATGAAATAAAAGAAAGATGAGACTATTTCCAAGAGTGTGTACTTGGGATATACCTTTGACAGTTATCTGTGCTATTGCTTCTATAACACCAAGGGTAGACATAGCAACACAAGTATAGTTTGCAGACTGCCTGACATCGTTAAGCTCAAGGACGTTTCTCCCTATTGGCATATCATCCTCAGGTGTCAAATCTTCTGCTCCTAGCATCCATTTCACATATGGCATTGGTGACCCCACTGCAACACACGTGATATTTACACTCCCGCCAGGCATGATCTCATGATTGGTGGGGGGGATCGAGAACCTTGGTGGGACCCGTCGAACTGGAACAAAACACACAAAAAAGTAATAACATATACAAACAAAAAAACTGAGTCTTGCATACAGACTACATGCAGTGTACAGACAGTCTTTTGTTTTAATGCGTTATTCTGATTGGTCAGAAAATATGTAGAAAATAAATACAAGACTATACAAGAATATTGTCTGCACACAATATCAATCATTCTATATTTACTTGATGTTATTATTAGGCAAATTCGTACACAGGCTGATTCAGAGCTATTAGGGCCCCCACATATAACTAACTACATACTTACAATTCACAAACACCATGCAAAAGATATACACACACACACACGCACGCACGCACGCACACACATATATATATGCATGTATTTCCTATGTGTATACATATATATATGCATAGAAGAAAACTGGAGAGTAAACAGCATGTTTGAATTGATTACCAAAACCAACTCCAATGCTGTGTACTTCCAGTTGATGTGGATAAATGTGCTAGACCACATTGTCACATCAGTCCTGGAACACATTGCCTACATTACACTTAAAGTGCAAATTCACTGCTTTCAGACGCAAAGTGGATGCAGCCTCAAAACCTCACACTAACACTGAAACAAACAGAAATAATATATATAATTACATATAATTACATACAAATATATATATATATACACATATATATACATGTACATACTCATATATATACATATATATACATATATATACATATATGTATGTATATTGTCACAGAAAAGAAACTAAGCAAAGCCAGTACAAAGTACTGGGTTTGGTCATGCAAGCAAGCAAATGACAGAATCAACTGAGAATCATGCTTAGGAAAATGTCTGAGAAAAATTGCAGAAAGAAAAGGAACTCAAAAAAAAACCAAACAAAAAACCACAAAACATATTGGGTGAGGAAAGGAAACTTGAAGGAGTTGGGGATAGGATAGGCTGACAGTTACAGGAATTTAAGAGGTGGATAGAGTTTGAGGGAGAGGGAAATTAGATTAAGTGTAAGTGGTTAAAAAGCAATTGTTAGGAAGGGCTACTGGGAAAATAGCAGAACATTTAACACTCAGGATTCCACTATGCTCACAGTTAAGGGAAAACAAAATAAGCTATAAGAAGTGATAATATCAGACATCTGTGTACTGATAGCAAGGGATAGCGACCTTAAACATGTAGCAGGACATGGCACTAACAGAGTAGTTAGTACTTAAGCAAACACAGCACCGAGAAAATTACCCGGCAATAACAGATCAGTGTTCCTGCTTCTAATATTCTCAGTGGTGTGCACATGTGTGTGGGATGCAGAATAGAAAAAGGTAGCTGAGAGAGGTGGGTTTGTATTTAGGCCTTTCATTGGAGAATGTACTTATTTGGGTTTAATATACACTTATCATTAAGACAGTTTTAATTTAAATAAATTAAATACTATGAGTAAGCAAAAAGAAATAAAAAAAAATGAACTCTGTATTAATCTGAAACCTTTCCATCAGATTTAATTAAATTTCTGTGATCTTCTATGGGTTCAAAAGGGGCTTAATGCAATGGCCTCATGAGTGAATGACAGGCAGAAGGGGAACAAGCAAACAGCAATATATTTCTAAGTGGCCAAATTCACAGAGGCCACACAAAAAGCAAGCGGCAGGCAACAAGGAATTTCTTGTATTGA